GATGACCTCCAAGGCTCCTTCCCCTTTATTGAGAAGGAATTTGATGAACATTCAAGGGGCTCAAGCTCCATAATCCCAGTACTTCCTTCTTCTCCAGGCCAGGTTTTCTCCTCACCCGGAGCCGTCCATCCTCTGTCACCAGCCACCCGGTCATCCGGGGCTATCTTTAATCCGTTAGCCACTGGCCCACAGCATGTTGACCCACCTGCAGACCCGGTTCCAGACAGGATCGGAGAATGGATGCAGCTGGCTACCTGCCCGGGTACTGCAGAAGGTCTCCAGCAGATGACCAGACCAGATCTACCATCAATGGTTCCTAATATCATAGCCGTTTCTGGCAGAGCTTTCCCCAGACCGAAACCTCTCTGGGGTCAGATACCCCCCAGGGGGATATCCCCCCCCCCCGAAGGGGAGAAGGCAGAGGAAGAGGAAGCAGGCCTGGGTCAGGCAAGTGGAAAAGGTTAATATGGGGTCCTACACTACTCTGAACCCTTTCAGAGGTGGACCCAATGGAATTAGGAATATCGGAGGATGTGGGTATTACCCCCTCCCAGCACACATTCGTGGGTTTTAAACCCCACCTGTTCAAGCCTTTTTTTGTTTAAGGCAAAGATATTCTGGTCTGGGGTCACAACCCTCTTACTTCTCCAGCAACCTCTGGTAATCCAGAGAAGTCCTTTCAGACTACCGGTTGTGGAGGCTGAAGTGATTCCTACTCCACCCATTCTTCTAACCTGGTAGCAAAACAATTGGCTTCTGTAGGGACGCCTCCCACCCCCTCCAATCGGGATAGGAGAATTTTTAATCTCGATGCAGAGTTTCCACCCTGTTAGAGACTCCCAACTATGTCGGGTCCATAGGGGGGTTTGGACCTCCCCTATCCCAAGTGATGCTCTGGAAGCCTTAAAGCCAGAGGACAATTGGGCCAAATTGGCATTTTGCAGGACGCATCAAATTAATACTTGGCCCACTTGAGCAGCCTCCGCTGCTTCCTTCTTTACACGGTCCTCCATTACAAGGCTCCATCAAAGCAGCTTACGGCAGCATTCTCAGCCATTGCACTCCATACCGTTAAGTTTCCACCGGGGCTATTTCATCCCAGGTCACAGCCGGCGTTGATCTTGGCTTCAACGTTGGCAAGCAGACGTATATATAAAAAATAATAATTCAAAAGTAAACAAGTTAAATGGGCCTCTGCTCCCATCTCGGGGGGCAATCCCTTCGATCCAGCCCTGGGACCTTATTAATGGAAAACTGATATATTAAATAAAATAAATAAATAAATTTCTTACCTCTCTCTTTCCCAGACCTGAAGGCAGAGTATCCCAGCTCTTTCGGAGGGGACCCCTTCGAACGTCCTATCTGACAGCTTTCTCTCTCAGGTTTCAGAGAAGCCCTGCCTCCCGGCGGGCCCAACTCCAGGATCAAACTGACTCCCGGTTCCAGCTCCAAGAAACCCCTTTGGGACGCAGGCAGTAATGCTCCCGTCACCTCAGATAAGTCCGTCACTTCTCATCCCATTGGTGGACGCCTCAAACTCCTTGCCGAGGATGCTTGGGTTAAGGACACTATCAATTCGGCCCTTTTTCTCCTGAATTTCAATCCCCTCCCCCCAAGCATTTCAGGATACCCCCTCTCCCAAGATCGCACCAAACATGGACTAGTAGATGCCGCTATCCAGCATCTTATTGAATCAAGGCCAACAGTCCGTCCCATTTTTGATTTGAAAAGGATCAATCGGTTCATTCTCCGGCCCAGATTTAGGATGCACTTGCTACAACCTATTCGTCAGGGTACCAGGAAGGGAGATCGGCTCACTTCCATTGACCCTCCTGTTTCAAAATTCTCCAATTCGCTACCACAGTCAACCCTTTCTATACGGGACCCTTCCCTTGGCTTGACCTCGGCCCCGAGAACTTTCATCATGAGCCTCGTGGCTCTGATGGCTCTCCTCAGAGTCTTCCCCATCCGCATTCGCTATTTCTGGATGACACTCTTATCCTGTCCCCTTCCAAACTCCAAGCAGGAAGGGACACCAGAACCCCACAACGCCTTACGCTCTCACCCTCCCCGCTCTCCAGATGCATGGGTCCTCGTTTATTGGCAAAAAAGCCGGTTATCTCCGTCCACCGAATAGCATCCAGAAATCGGTCAGGGAGATCAGGCGGGCACAATAAGGTAGCATTACTGGACTTAGTAAATTGCTTGGCTTCATGTATTCCATGGACTGGTTTCATGCATTTCATTTTTCCTTGGGACTGTCTGCATCCCAGATCCCTTCAGTGGTTTCTGCCTCCAAGCAGCGATCGAGAGGTACCAACCCAAACTCCCTGGCGAAGGCACTTCAGAGGTCCTCGTGTCCCTCCTCTGGTGGACCAGACCTGCCATCGACAGAGAGCATTACCTCAGGGATTTCCGGTGGGTCTCCCTCGCCACAGACGCCAGCCTTCCGGATAGGGCGTTACCTCCACTCGTTCTCAGCTCCGGGCACAGGGTCAGCAGCCAAGCTACGGTACAGCATAAATTGGCTGGAGCTTCACGCCGTATACCTGGCCCTACGCAGCTTCCTCCCCCAGGTACGCGGACGCCACATCTTCATTCTGACAGGCGCACGTCATCAGAGAGGGGGACACACACCCATTTGGCTCATGAGGGAGGCCTAGCGTCTATGTTGCTGGGCAGAGACCAGCCTCCTTCCACCAGGGCAGCTTATATTGGGGTCCTCAAACATTCAGGCAGACTGGCTGAGCAGGACCACTATAGACCAGTCAGAGTGGCGCCTGCTCCTCTCCCTGTTCAGGGAAGCCTCAGCAATATCAGGCCAACCACTAGTGGTGACACTCGCATCATGTTCAATGCCCTGCCCACGAGACCTTTCTCAAGGTACCACGCTTTGGGGGCGGACAACGGAGAACCACACCGCCTTACGTTGTCCCTGGCCCTCAGGGCTGCTTACGCATTTCCCCACTTCCGTTGATCCCCAGGGTGATCCTAAGGCTGATTCGCGAGAGGGTGGAACTCTCTCGGCTACCCCACACTGGCCCAGGAGACTATGGTACACAGACTTTTGCACCCCGTCAGTGGCCCTTCCCTGAAGAATCCCACTGGGCAGAGTCTCGTTATCCCAGGCGCCCCTCCTGCATCCGAATCCGCAGGGGCCTCATCTGGCCATCGGAAGGTTGAGTAGGGCCTGCCAGCCAGGCCATCTATTCCATTCTGACAGCAACTCGGTCCTCAATCACCTGTACATTTATATAATGCCACATGGGACATTTTTCTTGGTAGATGATGCTGCGATCACTTAGTGATCCACTCTCTCCATCTATTGCATAAATATTAGCCTTCATGCAAGGCGGACTGGATAAAGGGCTAGCCCCTAATTCCTTGAGACAACATATTACAACCTTATCAACCGTCATCTCCTGTGGCAATATTGGCTCGTTTCCACCACCCTCGCATCCAAGCATTCCATAGAGGAACTGCCAGCTGGCATCCTCCAGTGGTACTCCGATACCCAACTTGGGATCTTAATTGGGTTCTCCTCTTTTTTTGCTAATCCTCCCTTCGAGCCCTTAAGGGAGACATCACTTCAATGCCTATCGTTCAAACTAGTGTTTCTAGTGGCAGGCTCATCTGCTCGTTGGATATCTGAAATCACAGCTCTATCCGCCAGAAGGATCTCGGCGTTTTCACGCTGATCGGGTGGTCCTACCCTACGACCGGACCCTTCCTTCCTTGCCCAAGGTTAACTCAGCCTTTCACAGATCGCAGGAACTTTTCCTTCCTAACGGTTGTCCCAGTCCCTCTCGAGAGAGAGGGAAAGACACTGGCATTCTTCATTGTCAGGCGTGCGCTTCATATTATATCAGCCGCACTCAGCCTTTCAGGTGGTCGGAATCATTATGCTGTTCGTTTCAACCTAAGACGCTGGGTATCAGAGTATCCCCGTCGACTGTAGGCCGTTGGATTAGAGCTACACTCTCCAAGGCCGACTTGGTTCAAATGCTCCTGTTCCCAGAGGAATATCCGCACATTCCACAGGAGTGCGGCTACCTCAGCAGTTTGGGCAACTCAGACATTGATCAATGACACCTGTCGAGCGGCCTTCTGGTCGTCCCTGTCAACTTTTCATTCCTCTTCACAAGATTGATGGTTTGCTTCAGTCGAAGTGTCCTCTGTCAGTCGAGCCCTACAACAAGTTGTTTAGAAATCAGAGGAGATTCCGACCCAGACGGAGCCCCGCCCATAGGACAAGCCACGCTTTGGTACGTCCCAATCTGGATGCTCGGAGCAGCTCGATGGAGAATGGGCGTTGGTGCTTACCTGATACGCCCTTTCTCGTCGAGCTGCGTAGAGCATCCAGCCCCACCCTAATTTAGCCGTCTGGTGGGGAATCCTGTTTCGGCCAATGAATCAAGGAGTCAGAGAGTAATGTTCTACAATGGTCAGGATGAGATGATAGTGTTTGTCTGCTCGTCTTCGTAAAACTGAGGAACGCTCCGAGGGAGTCACATGGACAGGGAGGAGCGTTTCCTAGATCAAAGCTCAGCCTGTGAGTGCAGAGACTGGAGCACCTCCCAATCTGGATGCTCTACGCAGCTCGACGAGAAAGGGCGTATCAGGTAAGCACCAACGCCCAATTTGGTAGAGCACAATGCGAATCATTAAACGAAGAAATTACTGGTATGTGGGCGCCTTGCTTAACGACCGTCATGACTTGCATTGCAGTCATGGTAATGACTCCATTACTGGCATAATTTGAGGACCACCTGCACTGTAACACTGAAATTTATAGTTTAATCCCTTAAGGAGATACACAAATGATTCTTAGGTTGTGTTGATCCCAAATTGCTGTTAGCTATCTTGTTATAGCTCTTTTTTAAAGTAACTCTTTGTCTCTTATTCTGCCTCTTAGAGACTTAAAATAACAGATGTACTAATATGTTACATGTCCTCCTTCAGTTGTCTGCAATAATGGTGCACTATTTTTTCTTTCCTAGACTTAGAAGACAACTCTAAACCTGCTTCTACCCTCGATGATCCCTCTGCAAGTGACTCTGAGTGTCAGAATGAACCTGCTTCAATTGCTGTAGTCCCACCTGAAGTAAACTTGTTTCATACAAATCAGTCTTACCCAAATACCATGTCCTCAAACTTACATGAGTCCCACAATACTTTATCAGTCAAAGCCAAGAGTTCCTCTTTATCTTCTATTCCGTCACAGCAGCCAAACCCATGCCAGCCCAGTGCAAAATCAGTCACTGAAGAGACACCTGCCAGTTCACAAGTGCCCATATTCCAACCTTCAACTACTCTGGATGAACTGAAGCAACAGGTGGCCCAGATTCTGGCCAAGTATCCAAGGGGCATATCTCTATTCCAGTTCCGGATTGTCTATAGTGCTACCTTTAAACAACATTTTCCAGTGGGGAATGCCTCTTCTACCAAACAACGTCTTCTCGAGATGCCGGACACTGTTTATATAAAGGGTCATGGAGTTCAGACATTACTGTTGCCCGTATCCCCTGACGTGTCACCTGCAAAACCAGGTATGCGCTGTTATGGAATTTCCTTAGTTTCCTAATTTGAAATTTCCTCTGCATTTAGTTTTTGAAACAGAAAAATGTCCCAGATTTTCCTTCTACACTTTTCCACAAACCATATGACCAAATTAAAACAAAATTAGAGCTTTTATTCCAATTGTAGATGTATGAAATGCTTCACAAGCAAGAACACTTCATGTTCATCAGGCACGAGGATTACAAATCTTAAGCATGTAGGATAAGAAGAATTAAATAAGGTGGTTGCTTCTGCCTGCCTTGTCTATTTTTAGACTGAAGCTGGTACCATCACCATTTCAGGAAAAGAAGTATCCCCACTCTTCTGTAAAAACAAAGCTAAGGACAAAGAATTGGGGATAATAGCGATTGGTTGTTTTTTGTGGGGCGGAATATACAAAAACACAGACGTGTTCTATGTTTTGGATCCAGGAAAGTGTGGCAAAAAGGAAAATGCAAGACACTGTAGAACTTTTCCCCTCATTCAAATGTTTATTAATTTGATTTTAAGGCAAAATCAGTATATGGTAATTGAGCCCTCAGAACTCCTATGGACCATCATTGCTGAAAACTGCTAGCAGTTTCCTGACATCTTGTAATGGAAACATGTGAGTCTATTTTGCAAACCCTACAATCAGGCAGATGACATTTCTTAAAAAAAAGTTACTAAAGTTTTCCTCCATTCAGCCCACACATCTATATATGTGCAATCTACCCTACCTTAATATGTTGGATTTTGTTATAGACAAGATGAAGGCCAATCAAGAGCCAACAAAAGCAACACAAATACAAATATATGTGAGCATAATTATTAAATGATTAGAGATCTGTCAAAATTCTCTAGGTAGTTTTATCAAAAGTTACACCTTTTTTTTAGCCTCTTTCCTAGGTGAGTATGAAGCCTGAAGTTATTGGCCAAGATCATATAAGGTGCTCTGCTCTCTGGCCTCCAATGGTACCCACTACCATTTATCTATTCAATTTTCAGTTAAATTTATGTTTTGTTTCTCCCCAGGTCAGCCTGCCTCTTCCAAAGTTGAGAATGTTGCAGTGGTATGTAATCTTTCATTGGTCAATCCTGAACCTGTGACTAAACCTGCTGTGGAAACCTTTGATTCTCATTCCGTTTTGACATCACCTTTAATCCCCCCTGAAAAGCCAGGAAGCAAGGATTGCTGCAGCTCTAAGGACCTATCCCTAAATATGCTTCTGGCCCCATGCCAAGAACAAAAGAAGGCCATAACAAGCTTGCCAGGCTTTTCGGATCAGCTTGATTTGTCAAAAGTAGAAGACATTCCAGTGCTTCCTGGTCATTCCTTGCCTAAGGATGAATCGTTGATCATTCCACAGTCTTTCCTGATGCCTGCTATTCCCAGGGCTGCCATGATGCCTGTATCTGAGCCCCCTCATTCCTTCTTGCAATATTATCAGTCCGTCAGAATTGTAGAAAATAAAGGGAATAACCCATTCACTGAACTTCATACCCAAAGTACCCCAGGTTCCATTAAAGTGATGGAAATGAACAAATCTTGTTTGAATGGTCCCGATCCCAAGCTAGGAGAGATCCCCTTCATTCCACATTGCTTTGCAGCTTTACCTACATATTTTCAAGGGACAGAATGTGGTGAGAATTTGCAGCCAGGTATTCTTAAACCCAGATTTGCAACTCCCACAAAGTCAAAGATTTCTGACACTGTTCCATCAGTTGACTCAACACCAGTTCCCTCAGTTTTAGTAAAATCTGAAATTCACCCTCCAGGAGGTGCATCACAGAGCTCCAATAGTATTCAGCCTATGCTTCCAGTACAACCACCACCTCCCATCCTAAGTACAGAACAAAGGAATTATAATTGTGCTCTTTTAAAATTTGATTCCTTTTCTGAAGCACAAAAACAATCCAGAACTTTGCAGCATTTTTCGAGTCCTGAGTCTACTGCAAAGAGGAGTTCTGCTTCTTCATTGCCTAGAAATTCCGCAAACTGCTTTCCATCCAGATCCCAACTAAACCACCACTTACAACAGCCTGCCCATGCAAGACTAGATGATCTGCAATCCACTTCTGTTTCTTTAGCAGATAAGAACCTCAGAAAAGCCTCTTTGGACAGCATATCTCCTGTAGCAGTGTATCCAAGAAAACCCACTTATGTGAATCCTCTTGAAACCAGTTCAACCACAGAATCATCCATTGCCTGTTCAGTCAGTGGATCCTTGCACACTTCATCTGTGATCACCAATAATTCCAGGGCTTCGTCATCTGTATCCTCGAGGACAACAGCAGCCGTAAGTGCAGCTTCTTTGCTGTTGGATTCTACTGCCAACTCATATGATCAAATTGCCTATGCTTCTGCTAAGATCACCAGTAATTCCACTCCTTTGTTTTCTGAGACTCAAGCTTCCACTCAGCAGAGACAATATTCCAGGGCAGCTAGTACTGTAATCTCAAACACAAAAACAAGCCCCACTTCCTGGTCCCCAGAATCCAACACCTGTTCACACCATCAGTTTGCATATGCTTCCAGCAGGATCACCACTAATTCCAGTAACCTATCTTCTGAGACATATCAGGGACCGAGCACACAAGCAAGCGAGACTATAATTTCCTCGAATACAAAAACGGCGAGCTCCATTTCTTCTCTAGATTCTACCACTAGCATACCTTGCCAGCATGCCTATGCTTCTGCCAAGGCCACCAGTACTTCTAGTGTTTTGTCAAAGTCCACCGCCTATCAAACTCCAATTTCTGATTGCAAGGCTAGTTTAAGTCATCCTCCTCCTACTCAGAATAATCTCACATCCTCACTTTCTAAACAGGGGGACCAGTCTTCCTCTCTGCAAGAAAAGCAGGTTACTCACGTCTCCAAAATCTATGATGGATGTCTCATCCTATAATAGGCTATCCTTCAAATGGTCCATGTGAAGACATTTGTATATGGACACATTTTTTCCAGGAAGAGAGATGAAGAATAGCCTCTTCAATGTGCTGCCTAAGGGCATTTAAAGGCCATCCTTGCCTAAATTAACCTATTTACCTATAAACTTTAAAATTATGAGAATTCTCTGAATGTTAAAAATATTGTTAATTAAATTGTTTCAGCCATAAAAAGAATTGTCACCAAATTACACATAGTGAGATAGCTACCTCAAATGACACATAGCTTGAAGCTGCAGTACACTTATAGCCATTCCAGTGCCCTCTAGCTGATTTGCTGGTTTTTTATGTGATGAAAGACACCATCAATAGCATTCAGCCAAGGTCAGCTGATTAAACTCATTTTCTGAATGAGGAGCAGAAGCTATGATTCCCTGCCCCTTCAGGTGGGAGTACTCCCTGGGTCGTCTTGCCCGGAAATATCACTGTGAAATCTTTTAGTTGTACTGAGCTCTTAAAATTGTCCAGGGTGGTCAGATTCTGTGTTGGAAGCAGCTTGGTTTACTGTTGTGCAAGCATGTAATTATGTATAATTACTTTATACTGTTATTCTGTTCTGAAATCATGGGCACAAACTGATTCCTGAACCTTCAGCCTTCTCTCTCAATTTTTCTGAAATGTTTGTATTCAACACATTTGAAACATTAATTCTGAACTAGTTGATCCAACAACTTTTTAAAAAAGTAGATATGCAAGATTTTGAATGTGTTGTCTTCGGTATCTCCTAATATTTGGGAGCAGAATGGTTGAAGATTGTGCTTTCTGTATCTCCCTCTGGAAGTTCTGCTGAATTGTCTCATGTTGTGTTGGGTAGAAATACAAACTTGGACTTATGATTCTGAGTTACGACTAGAGCAAAAGGTATGCTAGAGTTTCTTTAAGAACAAATGCACCTAAGTTGCAATGTGTTGCTTTCTGCCCTCTTGCTTCTCCTCATAGGCTGGGTGTTTGACTGTTACTTCCCATTTTTCCAACAATCTTTTTTTACTCCTTCAGTTCTCATTGATGTCCCAGTGCTGCATATGCCACTGGCTGACCTGTCCTTCAATCTTCCCAGTACTCTCCCAATAGACACCTCCCCTTTTTTCTCATAGCCTTCTCTTTCTCTCTCTTATTTCAATGAGAGCAGATTTACTTTAAATTCCTTCTCTAAACCTGTTTCTGGCTTACTCCCAACCTTCTCCAGTTTGCAACTGCCTTTTTGTCCATGTGCCTATGGAGAAAGAAGTTAATCTTTTAAGGATAGTTACTATTGAAGGACAAGAATTCAGGAGAATCCATCCAAGCAACACTAATTCAAGGAACGTGCAGATTTTTTTGCAGACAAATATTCCATTTCCAGTTTAATTTCTGTTTAGAAAATTAATACTTTGTGTATTTTTTCATTTGGTGTGGATCTTTTGGCTTATATTTTTGTATCAAAATAAAATAATTAACAGAGAAAAAATGATGTTTGACATGTTTTAATTTCACATGTTTGTTTTATGTAAACGGGTGTGGGCAAAAGTCTCTAGGAATTGTTCAAGCATTTTATTAGTATTGTCCTCCTCCTAAAAAATACGTGTATATCTATTATAGAAAGAGCCAGTTTAGTGGAGTGGTTGAGGCACTGGCCTAGAAACCAAGAGACCAAGTTCTAGGCCTTCCTTAGGCATGAAAGCTGGATGACTTTGAGCCAGTCACTTTTCAGTCCAACTCATTTCATGGGGCTATTGTGGGGAAAATAGAAGGCTGGAGTATTCAGAATGTTTACTGTCCCAAGTTATGGGATAAAATAACAACATGTACTATTTGTAAATATAATAAATCAAACACTGAATAGTATTAGTTATAGAAAAATGAGAGCATTTTTTTAAAAAATTAAAAAACAATTTTATTTACAAATTTAAAAATATACAAATTCAAAAATACAGAAACAATATGTGGATAACACATAATTCTTTACATTTGTTATCGAATTTGGTAAGTCCTAACAATCAGTATTAGCTAGTACTAATCACATCTTCATTCATTATCACATGAGAGCATTTAAGAATGGATTACACATCTGAACCCTGGAAGGATTGGGAACTAATGATGCAACTATTGCTGACTTTAGAAATGCCTGGCTGATCATCTAGTTGATTTCTAGAATGAACAATTATTCTGAAAGGCAATTTAGTTTAATGATGAAAGGCACCAGACCAGAAATCAGAATACCAAATTTTCATTCTGCCTTAGACACACGGCAATTTTCCCGAGAAAAATGTGACAATAGGGTAGTCCCCAGGAGTCAAATTGACTCAAAAACAACAAAACAGTGGTGGAGGGGAAGCCTGTGCCATAACATTCTTTCCACTGCCGTGTAGTTGATCATTTTTTAATTATCAAACTTTAAGGACACATAAAAGCCTATTCCACGTATCCTGAAGATTATTAAACTTGACCCATTTGTAAGATTTAATCCAACACCATTGGGAATAAGTAACTAGGAAGTAAGACTTATTTGCATCTATGTTATAGGATTAACAGATAATCAAGAGTTGGAAGAGACCTTATAGGTCATCTAGTCCAACCCCCGCCCAAGCGGGTGACCCTACACCATTTCTGACTAATGGCAGTCCAATCTCTTGAAAGTCTCAATTGATGGTGCTCCCACAACTTCCAAGGGCAAGCTGTTTCATTGGTTGATTGTTCTCACTGTCAGAAAGTTTCTCCTTATCTCCAGGTTAAATCTCTCCCTGTTCAGTTTCCATCCATTATTCCTTGTCTGGCCTACAGGTGCTTTAGAAAATAGCTTGACCCGGAGGGCGGAGCTGGCATCGCGACGATACGGCATGCGATCTTGGAGGTCTGGGATCGCTGCCGATATCTTTGCTCCTGGATGGTCCTATTGGATCTAAACCATCCCAAAGAGATGGTGAGTGAAGAGCGCATCCTGTCGATCCCAGGGAGACCGCAAAGTCCCTGGTAGATCCAGGAGAAGCTCTTCTTGCCAGTGGCAAAGAGGCAGCCATTAAAGCTGCTGAAGTTGGGACAGCTCCGAAACAGAAGAGAGCAGAAAGAGTGTGCCGGTTTGGTGAGAACTTTTTAATTCTAAGATCTGAAAGGAAAAGAAAGAATCTGTAAAAGTTTTTGACGAGTGATTAAGTGGCGATTTTAAACAGGAATGTCAAAGTAATGTTTTGTTTTGTTTTGTTTTCTCATTGCTGGATTTTCTATATATGATCTTATATTTTGAAACTGGACTGGTTTTTTCGTTTATATCTATTTTTCTCTTCTTTTTGATTTTGTAATATTTTAGGCTAGAGGCTCCCTTTAGTTATTTCATTTTTTAAAAATATCTTTTTTTATTCTTATTATATTCTGCTTGGAAAAGGAGGGGGAAAGTGAGAGCAAAGAAACTTTGTAACACTGCCAACTAGAGCCTTGAAAATATTCTATTTCCCTGTGACCAGACAAAGCTGAGAAAGAAAGAACTGAGGCTCTTTTTCAAGGACATTGCTATTTGATAAGATAGAGGAAAGAGCATGGGAGAGTATTATTGCAGGTGCTCCTCTGGGTTTCTGTCAACAGCTGGAGTCTGGTGTTGATACGTAGGGGGAAAAAAGGTGATAAGTTTTTGGAGAAGAGAGTTATAAGAGCCTTGGATAATTAAACAAAGTGCAGTGTGCCCTTTTTACTTTTCATAAGTTGTGCTATCCCTCCTCACCAGCTTTATTGTATTTTTTTTTATCTTTTTTGTGTAATAACTATTTGGGTTTTTGGCTTTGTTGGAGCTTGTCTTTGTTTTTCTTTCTTTTTTTTTGGAACTCCAATCTCTACATTTGTTTTATTTTAAAGGGAAAGCCTTAAAAGCCCTTTTTCCCCTTTCCTGATATTTTTGTTTTTTCATCTACCTTTCTGGTTTATTCTTATGCACTTTTTTCTATTTGAGACCTTTCAATTGGATTAAAGTGTTGGAGAACCTGAAGAATTTTTCCTATTCCTTTTTTTTCTTTTTTTTTCTTGAGTCTTTTTCTTTATCTAACTATTGGTTGGATTAAGGTATACAAGAACCTGAAGAATTTGTCCCTCCCGCCTTTTTATTATTATTACTATTGGGCTTCTTTTTTCTACTATTTTTATTTTGAACTATAATTGGTCTTCACAATTGGATTAAGGTTTAGAAGAACCTGAAGATTTTGAATTGCTTAAAATGAGTAGGAAATTTACAGCTCCTGGTTCTTCAACTTCTACTTCTTCCTCTCCACCATCTGGAAGACAATGTTCAATACAGTATGTTAAAGCAAGAAAAAGAACAAGAAAAAGTGACTCTGCAGATGATTATGCAAGGAATTCAAAATATTCAAGCAAGATCAGAGAATATTGAAAAGAGAATAGAGAACATCGAACAAAGAACAGAGAACATTGAACAAAGAACAGGGAAAACCGATGAAAAAGTGGAGAATATCCAACAAATGATGTTGAAGTATGATGAGAGATTTCCAAAAATTGAGGGAGAAGATAAACAAACAGACAAGAAGATTGGAGATATTGATAATAAATTAACAGTGCTTGAACAAGATAAAAGTGGTATGTTGAGATGGGAGATGGATAGATCAGAATTCTATCTCAGATTCCAAAACGTAGAGGAAGAAAAAGGACAAAACCTAGCTGAGATAATGATAGAAATACTGGCTGAAGCTTTGGAAATAACTCAAGAGAAGATGATGGATGGAATAGATGAGGTTTATCGAGTTTTCACAAGATATGTGATGAGAAATAGCTTACCAAGAGAAGTTCACATTAGATTTACAAAGAAAGCCATTAAAACGCATATATTGCAAGTGGCAAAAAAAACATTGAAATACAATGGTCTTGAAACAAATACCCAGAAGAGTGAGAGAGATGAGAAGAGAATACTGATTCCTGACTAAAATGCTAATTAAAAAAGAGGTGAATTATAGATGGCTGCTTCCAGAAGGTTTAATATTCACATGGCAAGAACAGAGACATAGAATTGACTCAATTGAGAAAGCGGAATTATTTTATACAGAATTTTTTGGAAGGAAAGAGGAAGAGGCAGAAAAAGAGATCTCACTACCTGAATTCCAAGAGGACTGCCAAACAGCAACTGAAAAAGAAGAAGGTGCAGTAGGTGGAAAGGTGGAAGCCAAAGAACAATGTGAACTAAGATCTATGAGAGCTGCTAAACCTAACTATAAAATACAACCATGGAAGAGAAAAAAATGATTACAATTAATATAAATGGACAACTCAGCCATTAAAAGAAGGAAAACCTTTCATAAACTAGAGAAATTAAAATTTGATATAATTTGTCTACAAGAAATACATATTAAAAAACAATATGAACAATTGTTGGTAAAGCCAAAATTAGGGAAAATATTTACTTCCTTGACCCAATGTAAGAAAAGAGGAGTGGTTTTATATATTAAAGAGACCACCCCAACAAAGTTGATCTATACGGATGATGACGGAAGAATATTAATGGTGGAAATAATGGACAATAATATGAAAACACTCCTGATTGCAATTTATGCTCCAAATGAATTCTACAAAAAATTACATATGAAAATAATTGAACTAATATAGTTATGATGGGAGATTTTAATGGAATTGTGGACAATAAATTGGACCATACAGCAACAATAAAGCAAAACAGAAAGATTCTCCCTAAATCTTTTTTTAAAATGGTAGATGAAATAAACTTAAAAGATACATTGAGAGAAAGAAATACTAAAACTAAACAATACACCTTCTATTCAAATAGACACTTATCATGGTCCAGAATAGATATGATATGGATGTCAACAGAATTAATATCTAACATTCAAGAAATAAATATCAAAACAAGTACTTGGGTAGATCACAATCCAATGACAATTAAATGGAAAGGACAAAAAAGAAGATCTAGATGGATGTTAAATAATACCATTTTAAATGAAAAAGACTTCACACAGTGGATGGGGAAAGAATTGGCTTTTTTCTTTAGAGAAAACAAAAAAGAAGATATATCAATTCAGAATGTATGGGATACAATGAAGGCATATGTTAGAGGCTTGATAATAGATTATACAAGGAAAAGGAATACTATGAAAAGGCTAGCTTCTAAGGCTCTAGAGGATGAGCATAAAAGACTTGAAAAAGAGCTATAGAAAATGCCACAGAAAAAGGACATCAAGCTAAAAATGGATATGATTAAACACAAAATGGATCAAATAGAAAAAGAAGAATTAGCACAGAAAATTAGAGGTGCTAAACAGAACTACTTTGAAGATGCAAACAAACCAGATAGATGGTTAACATACAAATTGAGAAAGGAGAAAGAATCAAGGAAAGTATTGCAATTAATAGATGACCAAGGCCAAGTTTGTCATGGTAGCAAAGAGAAGAAGGAAATCGTTCGAGACTTCTATAGGAAATTATATAAGCAACAGTACTTACACATTGC